CGCTGCGATTTTTTTAAAAAAAATAAGAAACAAAAATAATTAAAAAAAATTGAACTCATGTCGCTGCCTCAACAGCGACATAACAAAAATATAATAAAAAAATATAAAATCACTCCTTCGGAAGCGATTTTATCTTTAAAAAATATTTTTTAAATTTTACAAATCGCTTTTTATAGCAGCGATTTTACTTTTTTCGACGGACAAAATCGCTACTTAGTGAGCGATTTTACCGTTTTAGTTTTTTAAAAAAAATCATATAGCGTTTTGAAATTTTTGTTAACATTTTTCACCCTTTAGGCTCTGAACTCATATATTTACATGTATAATGTGTTAGTATAATATAATTAATTAATTTTTTTTGTCCATTATTTAAGTCGTAATATATATATTAGTCGAAGTTGAAAAAATTATGTACGATTACCATATTATAAAATATCAAAATCAGACTTCAAAATATGAACCTTACCAAATTAAAATAAGATAAATGATATAATAATTTTATAAATCAAAGGGAAAATACCCAACTACCCCCTCAATCTATGCCCGAAATTCCAAAGACACACTTATACTATACTAAGGTTTTATTACCCCTGAACTTATTTTATATGTAACTTTCTACCTTTTTTTAGCCTACGTGGCACTAGTTCAAAAAAAAAAGTCAACCATCGTTAGACCCACAAGATAGTGCCACATAAGCTAAACAGGGGTAAAAAATTATTAATAAAATAAGTTCAGAGGGTAATAAGACCTTAGTATAGTATAAGTGTGTCTCTGAAATTTCGGGCATAGATTGAGGGTACTGACATTATCCCTTAATCAAAACCCAAATTACTATAGCAAAGTTTCAAATATTGTCATACCATAGCATATCCATCCCTAGCCAATTAGAATATTAATTTCTAAATATAATAAGAAAAGATATAGCCTTTATCCCTATAAAAAAAATCATAAATATATTAAGATCACTTAAAAATTATGTTTTAATCATACAAAATAAAATTAACTATGATGACGGAGGAAGTTGTGATTAAATTTGAATTATTTCACAAAGTTTAGTAATAAATTTAAAACCCATTTATAGTGTAATAACAAATTGACCTTTTTATTTATTTCGTCTTATCTTAATTTATACATACACATAAATACGAGAGTTAAAACACTTAATTTTAATCAATATTTTGAATATAAATTCTTCAAATATTTTAAAATAAAATTCTTATATTTTAAAATTATAAAAGAAAAATACTTAAGTCAATATAACTAATAGGAGTAATTCATAATATTTTCTTTAAAAAAAATATAATTAATTAAAAAATTATTTAACTCTCGAAATAATACGGAACGGAAAAGGTCTTACGTATTAAACCTTCCTTCGATAGCCATGATGGGCAACATCTAACCACTTCTATTTGTGATGATGAAGAAAATTGGATCATGTATGTGAGCTGTGACAAATGATGAATTTGGATACTTTCACAAAAAAAATTAATAAAACTCTCTCAATTGATTAAAATGAAAGAAACAAAATAAAATATTTATATTTTACATAAGAGTTAAATAAATTGAAAAATTCATTTTACTTCAAGGTTTAAAAAAATAATCTCAAATTATATAATTTATTTACCGCCTCGTAATGAAATGTAGTTCTTAATATATAAAGATACGTTATTAAATGTTTCATTTTATTTTTCAGTGAAATCAAATTTAAACATATATAAAAATTCTCAAAAAAAGAAAAAGGAGGAATCGTGATGGTCCCCTTCGAACAGCCCGGAAGATGATTTCCTTTTAACTTTTTTGTTTTCCATGTAGTGTCAAGAGTCTGACTATAAACTTATTTGATCATAGTCTTTTGAAGAAATCATTTTTTTTCTAATAAATTTAAATTTAAAATATTTTTTTCTAATAAACTTGAACTCGAGATATTTGATTAATAAGCGATTTTGATACTCATATTTCTTTTTCATTATTGTGAGAATGACGTCAAAAGTACATTCAGTTCATATTTATCCCATACCCAAATCTTCATTATAAATACTAAGAGAGATCTATAAAAAAGTAAATCACAAAAAATAAAACTGTGAAAATGTTTCAAAGTTTTGTATTTGTGGAGGAATCTTCAATTATCACAGCAATAACTGTGATAACTTTTTTGTTTTTAGCTTATTTGGGTGTTTCTGAAATTGCTGGAAAACATCTTCAATACTCCAAATTTTGGAATGTTAATGCAAATTCTGGTTCATCTAGTAGTAATTTTCTGCAGGGGAAAATGTCTAGTAAATTAGGGATGTTTATATTGTATGCACCAGCTTGTTTTATGGGTTTTGCTTCATTTTTTATGTACCCAGATGGTGGAACTAGGTTTATGTTGCTTCAATCTGCTGTTACTATACATTTCTTCAAAAGGGTTCTTGAGGTAAACTATTTTTTTTTAGCTTAATTGTCCATAAATATATATTTTTAATGTCTAGGTAAAAGCTTTAGCGTTCTTTGTCAATTTATATATATATTTATTGTTGCTAAAAGTTGTTTTAATTGAAGTGTATATGTCCTTGTATATAAGTTGGTCATATCCCTTCGGTGAACACTTTGTGCATACTGGGTAAATTTCTATTGTATAATAGCTTGCAAATTACATGTAAATCGCACCAGGCAAATCTAATGCAACAGACTCGACTCAAACATTGAGGGGAGATAAATCTCGATTCATTTGTGTGGATAACAACCCTCCAAACCAACGAAACCATCCCAAGGACAAGTTGGTCATATTGTGAATACAAATATAGAGGAAATTCTCTCAATATTGTGTGTCCTTATTGTTTTTTGACTTTACATGGTATCATAGTCAGGTTTACTGGTTCTGTGTGGGGTTGTGAATATACACCTTGTTTTCTAAATAGTGGAACCTCGGATAAAGAATGTTCAGATCCGGGTGGGTGTGAAGGAATTTTTGATGAGAATGATCCCACATTGGACGGGGACAAAAACATTAGGTCTGGTTTGGGCAATCCTCTTCCGTAGAGCTAGTAGCTCTTTAGGTGTGAGTTAGGTCTAATGCTTAATTTGACGTACTCAGTTGGATTTGTGTAATGCATACTAGTGTTTTTTGGGTTACTTCTGATGATCTTTAGAATCAGTTGATGGAAAATATTTGGAGCTATCAACTGATTTGGAGATTAATTGGCTAGCATATTAGGTTCCTTTCTATCCATATAGTCTACAAGATAGAAATTTGAGTGATCTTCCGAATTTACCAGTACTTTTCTGTTGCTTCCTTCCAAACTAATTGAAGAATGTTGCAATTACAGGTCTAGGCATACAATATCTATTGCTCTGATTGTTTGCCGTTCTTCTAAAACTGTCTCGAGTAAAGTAACGTAATCTTCAGGTAGAGTTACCAAGAAAACTGAGTAAAGTAGCTGATATCTATTGCTGGTGGATAGTGACAAGTATCCCCTGGAATTAGTCGAGGTGTATGACACCACGGTTTTCAAAAAAAGCATACCTTAAGAACCTTCATCGTTTAGAGAATCTTCTTTTGCTATTGTACCTGTATAGCCAGCTATATAGGAGGTTGTGTAAACCTTCCATTCTTTGCACCTAAGCTACCATACTTTTTGGTACTATCACTTATTTTTCTCACTGTTCCGATTACTTTCTTGCTGCTTGATATTGCCTTTATATAGCGTATAAGGAACTACGTAATTTGTTCAAACTGATTGCTTTGTACTCACTAACAATCTGATAATATATCGGTGTTGCTTAGATTAATCCGATTCTGTTGTCATATGTTCATGTGTATTATGCTTCAGACGCGTCAATTACTTTGAGGAGTAATGAGATCGTCCGTTCTGCTTTGCAGGTTCTGTTTGTTCACAACTACAGTGGTGGGATGATTCTTGGATCAGTACTCCTTATTTCATCCTCCTATTTTATGGTTGCTGCAGCCATGATCTGCATCCAACACTTATCTCTACAATATACGGAGCCTGAAATCGATCTGAAGTCTATCGGTGTACTGATATTCTTAGTTGGAATCATTGGCAACTTTTATCATCATTACCTCCTTTCCAAGCTCAGAGGCAGTAAAGAGAAAGGCTATAAAATTCCGCAAGGCGGTCTTTTCAGTATGGTGATATGCCCTCATTATCTTTTCGAGATTCTTGGCTTCGTAGGGATCTCGTTCATCTCCCAGACATCGTTTTCGTTTGGCTGTGCTGTGGGTGTAGCTTTATATCTATCAGCAAGGAGTAATGTTACTAGGAAATGGTACCTTTCTAAATTTGAAAATTTTCCTAAGAATGTTAAAGCTTTGGTTCCTTTTGTTTTCTAAAGAAAGTGATATTACTTTGTATCAAAGTCCCATTCTATAATGACACTTTTATCATGTATGAAGTTTGGTAGCTGCATAATTTGTCACTTGGAATATATCCGAACTTTGATCGAAACTGTTGTAACAATACCGAACTTTGGAATTCCTTTTATCACTTGCACTATTTGATAGTGTATTTTAAAGGTGTATATATGTGTTTATGTGTACATCATAAATATTACATCAGTATAAATAATAGTAACATATATTTAAAATATATTATCAAATAATGTACGGATAAAAGGTCTTTCATTAAGTTTGGTATCGTAACAACAATTTTTATTAAAGTTGGAGTATTTTTCAGATCCTTTTTCCTGTATAATGCAGGCAAGATACTTTCTTTGATCATTTATATTTGAATCGTATACCGTCAAACCTCTCTATAATAGTGTTATTATATAATGTAACTTTACAAAGAATTGGTTGTTAAGACATTGTCCATTATAATGAAATTTTATATTAGAGAGAAATTTTATAATAGAGAATGGATGATATAAAGAGGTCTGACTATATTCATTTTTGTTCAAAATATACTTAAAACTCCAAAGCTATGTTGTTATTATAACGTAATATTATTATAGAGATGTTTGACCGTGTTACTAAGCAAAAATAGAAACATAGATGCATGCATTACTTCAAACCTTCCAAAATGAAAAGATAACAAAAGTCAACATAAACATAACTTCTTTGCATGAATTCGAAATTAGTCGGACTTTAGAACAGGATCAACAACCTGACATCACACTGAGCAAAAAAAAAAAAACTAACATAGCTTAGTGCAATAGCACTTGAGTTGGATACCAACACAATTACCACCAGAGAAGCCTTCATTTCTACAAACAATAGCACAATTGTGATCATGCCAACATGGACCATGATAGCTATGGCTAGGTGACATACAAACTCTTGCTTCTACTTGTGGCATCATTATTCCTATTTCTGCACAATCCATATATATATATATTCATCAACAAACAAACAAAAAAATTGAGGTGAATTGATGTACTAAAGAATAACATGAATTAGATAGAAAAATTCGTCGTTAAATAATCCGTAGCTAACATGATTTTTTGATAATTAGTCTGATCTAATATGTTGTTAAATAAGACTAGTGACGCAACTTTTATTGTTTAACGACAAAAATTGTGATGGTTAGTATTAGAATAAATCAAGTATGATGACTATTAACGTCCTAAATAGACTGTTAATAATTCATATATTCGATCCCAACTGATTGTAAGTGCTTAATTGATGAATAAGTAATTTTAGGACAAAATTAAAATTAAAAAAAAAAAAAGGCTACTCATCACAAGAGGGAAACTTACGTGAGGCAAAAATCAAGAGAACCACAGAGAAAAATCCAAAATATTTCCTCTCCATTTCTTAATTGATTTCAGCTAAACATGTATTTAGAAAGCTTTTAGTTCAAGCTGGGAAGAGAGTTAAGAGACATTGTTATATATAGATATAGTGGGGAGGGGAACCCTTCGGGATGGCCTAGTGGTTTTAGCATAGGACTTTCATATTTGAGGTTTTAAGTTCGGAACCCCTTATCAGCGAAAGCAAAAGATTTGTCTTCTAGGTCGAGCTTGTCGAACCGGGCTTGCTTGATGCGGAATACCTCTCCTGTGTAGCTTGAAAGCTATTGCATAGGAGCGGGAGTTTTACCCTGCGCACCCGAAAGATAGCGGTTGCGGATTTCCCAAATCATAAAAAAAAAAAAGATATAGTGGGGGTCGTGATGTTCGAGCCACTTACGCATATCTCAACTAATTTTATAGTTCACCTTTCACTAGCAACATGTATGAGGTAACTCTATCCATCAAAAATAAGACATCTAATATTTTTTTTCGATCGGAATTTAAACCGGATATTTATATAAATCGATCAAATCTCAGGGTATCTTAACTTTTTGGTTGGAAAAAAGATTATCACGTGTGGCCCATACTTATAAAACATGAAAAATTCTTGTGAAAAAAGTGAAGATATTAAACAAAATTATCTTAGTACTAGGCGTGCATTGGCTAGAGGAGAATCTTGATGGATCTAATTATATAAATTTATCGTCACGTAGAAGGTTTTGAAAATATAATTTTCAAAACTCTCGATAAGTTTGTGATTACGATTATATGATGATTAAAATATTAAATTTATATTTTATATATAGAAATTATTAATTTAAAATCTAATAACTTTAAAAAAAAATTTCAAATCTTAATTCCGTTTCTACGAAATAGGTCCTTGATTTTGAAGTCTAAAAATGAAGAAAGTTATACCATTAGTAGTTGGCCATAACTACAACACCAAGGAAAAGGATAATAATGACTTTTTTACTTGCCCAAGTATGACCCTAGTTATAATACATGTTTATAATTTGATTCAGGTTATTTAATTTAGTGGGTCAGATCGAATTAAATTGAAAAAAAGGAATGCATTATTTAGGGATAACAAATATTTTTATTCGATTTGAGGAATTCCATTCAAAATGGGACATTTTCTTTTACCCTTTTTCCTTGAATTATTGTAACATATACTAACATACATTCACCAAATTTGATCAAATGAAAGTACCAAAAAATTACATGCCATGAAACACTGAAAATATATTACTATATAAATTAATAAAAACACTTTGGTTTACATCTTCAACAATATCACACTCCACCCTACAAATTAGATTACTGAATTATGTGAATAAAAACATAGCACACAACCAAACTTTTTTGTAAATTTAAAAGTAGCACAACATGAAGTGTTGCATACATCTTATTTATAGCCAAAAATTAGCAACAAAAAAGGTACAAGTGAATCAGATTCCAGATATCTTAGATATGTCTTATGCATGTGAATCCATAGCCAGAATCGTACTGAGATTCATTGGATTCATAAGCTCCGTTGTACCAGACATGATTTGCTGCACAATGATCTTATTTGCCCTCTCAGATGGATGGAACGGGTCCCAAAACGCGTAAACATCTCTATTCGGGCACAAATTAGAGAGCGGTGTACATAGACCAAGACCGTTATATGGTCCTTGTCCACAACATGCTACCTTTGATGTTATAAATCCTGTCACAAAAAAATGGAATCCATTGTCAATATTAATAACACTAGTCAACCACAGGCCAGAGCCCAGAACCCAGAGCCAGCATAATGAAAATCCTGGCTCTGCCACTGAACATGAACAGGGGATGTAAATTTAAAGCATTATATTGATTTTACGAAAGTAAAAAAGATGTTTACCATATGCTTGTGGATTAGTAATGAAATTCGTATGCATTTGTTGTGTATTTGCAGCAATAAAAACATCGCTGCCTAGTTCACTATTTAACCCCTGCAACATTTGCGTAAGCTGGGGGTTAAACAGGCCTGCAGCTCGTTGCAACTCGGGTGAACATTCCCCGTTCCTGCTACGTTGAGCTAGTTCTGCTGGAACACAACCTAACGGTCCAGTTCCAGTTACAATTACACGACGAGCTCCAAGATTATACACATTCTGCAACAAATGTATATTAATAAAACTTCTGTATTATTATCTACCTATACAAAAAGTAACATAATAACTTCAATGTGCATTCAATGTTTTTCTGAATCTTTGTCACCTTTAATTAAAAACAGCTAGCAATTGACAACCAATTATGTTTGGTGAAAAACTTAAATTTGTTATAAATGTTTGTATTGAATGAATGTTATGTCAGAAAGGGGAAATCTCTGAAATTATCAACTAACAGATCGCCTAAACTCAATACGTACCATCAAGATTTTACGATATTCTCTTATCAAATAAGGGACATAATCTTGAATAGAAAATTGGCGTGATCGCGCAGAATTGGGCACAAGATAATAGTTGTTGACAAAATCATTGCCTCCAAGAGTCATAAGAACAAGAGCTTGATTTACAAGTCTTTGAGTATTTGCTTCACCAATAAGGCCACTTACTCTACTTTGATATTGTCTAAAATAAGCCAATTGTTGTGGCATTCGAATAATATTAATCTGCATATTATCATTAAACAGAACAAATTAATTATTAAAATGTTTGAAATAATTTGAATTTTAGGCTAAAGTTTTTTTGTACGTACAAATTGGATTCCAGTGTCATTTAGTATTCCAATTCCAGCAGATGCAAAGTTAGCACCAACAAGAAGTCTTTGTCCAGTAAGAGCTGGATCTAAGTAAGGTAGTGGTGACTCTGATGAACCAATTTGTTGACCTGAAAAAAAAGAGTAAAATAATCGAAGTTGATCGATCGATCACAAATTTAACTTATATATACTGAAAATGTAAAAAAAAATATTATATTAATATTAGGTCAACCTTGAAGAAGGATTTACCTTGTGTATATTTCTAGTGAAAATAATTGCTTATAACATGTAACTTGTCTTATGTCTATGTTAATTTTAGATTTAATTTTTATAAACGATTAGTTTTAGTATTTTTAAATTAGCTTATAATTAAAAGATTCTTTATATCATCGATGTATATAGAAATTAAACTTATAAAAGAAAACTATAGATAATTGTCTTAAAAAATAAAGTAGAACACGTAATCTAAAAAATAAGACAGATTATCATCTATAATAAGTTAACATTATAATTTTAGTGTTCATAAGTACCTTTCATAAAAGAGGCAAAAACACACATAATTAAATATCAGAACAAAAAACAGTTTAATACACAAAATATTTCACGTTCATCTAGTGTTCGATAAAAGGATTACACCCTAAGAGGACGTAATGTAGGTCATCTATCCTAGCACAAGCATCAGTATCCGACTTCACAGCTCGAACTCGTGACTTACAGAGACAATTTTACAATATCTCCACAATTCTCCAAATATCAAAGGTATATCCGAGATTCAAACTTTCTATGTGTTCTTAGCATTAACTTAAAAATTCATATTTATTATTTTCATAACTTCACATTCTACATCGAAAATATTAGGTTCATATGAATCTGATATAATGTACATACCATACATCTCACATTCACACAAAAATTTAGAAAAGAACCACCACTATTCTATGATAAAAAACATGACTTAATCACCGTATACTATCCTGATGCAAACATCAGTAACCTCGTGACCTATAAGTCATACGAAAATGTAATACTAAAAAAAGAGATGTATGGACTCAACTGATAATGTCAGGAATGTTGTAGCCATTAGAGAAACGACCAGTTGCTCTACGTGTTGGATAATCAATACCATAAGGTGGTGAATCAGCCCTTGCAGTAGTAGCCAAATAATTATTATTTCCACTATCAACAAGTGAATCACCAAACACAAAAAATGCCCTAGCTTCACTTTGACAAATAGCCACTCCAAAAATCAACAAGAAGCTCAAAATAATAGTAGGTGTGGCCATTTTGGCAAAAAAAATAAAAAAAAGTGTGTTGTTACAAAAATATTATAAATTGGTTTGTATTGTGCATTTGCTAGTAAAGCAATTAGACATGTATATATACAATAAAATAAAATGTAAAGAGAGTTATAACTTTTTGAGAGGTGAATTAAATGGACCAAGTTGGCACACAGTTGGAAATGAAAAAAAAAAATGGACCACAAATTAACTTAAAATGAAAGAGCAAAGAGTATAGTGGTAGTTTGAGGTATTTAATTTGGACAGTTTGGAAGTCTCTCTGAGTATAGTATTGTATTTTATTTATTTATTTCTAATCATAAGACAAAAAAAATATTCTTTTTTCAAGCCTAACAAAAACCTTTCACATTTTATATAACTCCATACTATATATATTCATATATTAGTATTGATTCGTATACGCTTCTTAAGAAAAATATTAAAAATTTCAATTCATATTGATATCTGAAAAGAGAAAAAAGTTATATATAAAGTGTAATTGATGATATTTTTAATGTTACGAGGTCTTGCGCAGATTTATTTCAATAAGTAGATTGTATTATAATACATTAAAAAAAATTTATAAATTATTTTAATCGAACAACTGATATTTGAGTCAATAATTTAGTGAGATTGGTATATATGAAGATGGAGTGATGGCATGGGGCTGATTTGCGACCTACTAGGTACACGCTTCATTAGTAGCGAAAAAAAATATTTTCTTTCGTATCAAATGCAATTAAGATTTATTACGTGTATAATATGAAACTTCTGAAAGAATCACATAAATATAGTGCAACGTAAATAACTGAATTCACACTATATTTAAAATATCTTTGAATTAAGTCTAACGAGTCTCTATGTAATTCTGAACTAAAGAGTAAATAACATTTGTTTTAGGAAACTTAAGTATATTAAAATAAATACAGCTCGTCAAAACGACTAATATTTTTGAAGAAAAATACCTAACAACAAAAATAATAGGTCATTGATTATGTTGTTTGAAGACATTTTAGCAACAACAAAATATAGCTATATGCTTTTTATTAATGTAGGGTGGGGGGGGGGGGGTAGTTCAAATGTACTTAAAGGCCTAGTGGAAAAAACAACATCCATGTGATCAAAATAAATATTGCCAACGAATATATCAACTACAACTTATTAAAGTTTACATAAAAATAGAAAGTAAATCAAATAGTGTAATGGTGTTGTTGTACAAATTATTTAAACAAATTAGGGTTTAACTCCATAGTCAAATAGAGGGTTGTAGCTACTTTGACTACTACATTAATAGACTATACTTGAAACACTCACCCCAACCCCCATCCAAAAGATAAATAAATTAGTATAAGTCTTTTTTATAATTATTTATTTGAGTATTTAGTCCTCATACTATACGATTCAGTGTAGACTTTAGAGCGAATGATCAAAGATGATGATAAAATGATAAGTATTTCTTCTTTCTTGATCAAAGTTATTGGGTTCGAGTCCTTTTAAGTAAGAAATTGTCGCTATTAAGGAGTGTTTTATATATTTCAATGTGGGATTTTTTAATGCGAATTTAAATTTAATCGAATTTCAATATTAGGAAAAGAATTGACTTAGGACATGATATAAAAGCTTCTAACATTGATTTTAGTCACATGCTTGACATAGGAAAGTGATGTGTATATATCCGAGGCGGATTAAGAACTTAAATTTTAGGTATTTAACATTTAGATTTTTATTTTTAAGTGTATTATAATTTTAAATTATGAGCTTATATTTATATTTTTTTAATTTTAGTGAAATTTTAACTTTATTTGTATTGTATCAAAATACTGAATTCAAACAAACTGGATTTATATGAGTCTTCGTGTACACCATTATTCAAGACAATTTGAATGTGAAAGATCCTCAAGTCTATCCTACTAGACAAATTAAAAGGTTTTCTATACTTTTTATTGTTGTGGATATTATAATTTTGACATTGTGGATATTATAATTTTGACAATAATTTATGCATTTATTTTTAGTTTGATCATGGGTGATAGATTTGTTATATCGAATTTTGATGAAATTAATTATCGAATAGATTATTTTGGTAATTTCTTTTTTCTTTGTAATTGAGTTATTCTTTAAATTTTTTATTTGTTTGACTATATACTCATCGTATTAATTAAAGAGCTCTCAATTGAATGTATTGTTATAAATATCTTTTTTTTTTGTTTGAAAATAATAATAATATTAGGTTATGTTTTTTTTAGCAATGTCATTTTCGAGTAATTAAGAAATTAATTATTATCCTTATTCTAGAGATACTAACGATAAATGGAGATGTCATGATCATTATAAATTAATTCAACAAAATATAAATTAAGTTTACATAATAATACTCGGGAAAAAAAAAGATAAATAGAGATGTCATGATCATTAGAAATTAATAATTTAACTAAGTCCTCGAATATTAATCAAAATAATAAAGATAAAATCAAAAAGGACCAGAGAAAAATAGGGGCAGATCTAGAATTTCAATTACTAGTTTACGCAAATCAAATAATTATTGTCCAAATCTTGTATATATTGAGAAATTTGCTGAATAGTAATGAATATTTGCCTCGTAAGAATTAAGTCGAGATTCTAATAAAAATGCATAAATTTCAAATTAAAAATGTATCATTTGGAAAAATTAATGGCGTCATATAGTGAAACCAATATATTCAGGCAGATCAATGTCAACTAATTAAATCACTTGCATTGTACGAGTTTAGCACATTAATTAAGTAGACTTGATTCTTTTAAATTATATCTCCCATTAATTAATTATTCAATACAATACTTCCTTAAACTAAAAACTAAATCTGTCATTTAGAATTGATATAAAAATAAAAAATAATTTAATAAACTATATTATATATATATTAAAAAGAAATACGTCTTAACTTTGTTATTGAAAATTAATATATCTTTCATTATAAAATACTCATAAATAAATTTCGTAATGTACTATTATTAATTTTATAAATTAGCGTAATTTTTCGCTACGATAATATAATTTACAAAGTAAAATATAAAGAGGAAAAAAAAAATATATCTTCACATATCTCCAACAACCCCAACCTATTTTTCCTTCTTATTAAGAAGAAAAGACAAATTATTTTTATGTCACAACCATATAATAAAGATTTATAATAAATGCTAAATATGCACTTAAAAAACAATGAAAATTTACTTTAATTACACTATAAAAAAAATTAAAACATTTTTTTTAAAAAAAAAGGACCACATGTGCCCTCTCCATAAATCATAATCATGCTCACGGGTAAATCAAGGATCACTACGAACTAAATTAATTATATATTTGATTAATTGAATTTGTTTGAAAATATTTAATATTTTAGAAGAAAAATGAAGGTCATTTTTTTCCCTAAGCTAATGTTAATTTTCCAATTAGTTATAAATAAAAAAAATTATTTTATTAATTTACCATTGAAAAACATTTTTGGAGTCCATTTTACACTTTCAAAAAGAATGAATTATAAAGATAAAAATAAAAAAATATAATTAATTTTATTTTAATTTTGTAAATTGATACGATAGAGCTTTCTAATATAAGATACAAAAAATAATTTTGAAACAAATATTTTTAAAAATTACGATGAATAATTTATGACGGACGCAGAACTTTAAAATTGTGGTAGGTTAACAAGGACCAGAAATAACTATAGTCTATACAGTACAACCTACACCAGAAATTTTCACACACCAACTAAATATTAAATATTTTTTCGAATGATTTAAGCTTATATTTGGATATTCATTAATTAATTAATTACTAACTCCTAACTAGGATAGTACTCCCACTTTGACTATTCTTTTACTCATTATGTTTTTTTTTTAAAAAAAATAGTATAACTATTAACTAGTATAATCTACTTGCTAAAAGAAAATTGATGTTATATGGTCCAAAATATGAAAAAAAGTATTTAATCTATGTATAAATACTTTTATAATGATTATGTATGCATTAGAACATTCACTAAATAACCTTAAATATTTGTCTATGAAGAACTCAATAATGTTTTATTTGATAACCGTGATGTCTGAAACAATTAACATACACTAGTATCATCTATCACCAACAACAAGACATATCAGGTAACTCTGTCGATCTGATACCTATTGTATATAAAAACTGTACATGTTAATATTATTGTATATTAAGTTGAACCCGCTTTTAGGAACTCGTAACTTCAAATTATGAATCTGACTCTGCCCGCAAAATAAAGTTATACTATGTAACATAAGAAACTAGAACTACAGAAAACTAAACCCAAGATCTTTACCAAGTACTTGCTATTAATTATTATACAACTTTGCTAAACTCAGTGATACATTAAAAGAAAAATATTTTCAATGAAATAACTAATGAAAATGATAAATGATGTTTGTCTCAATCACAGCCTCTATTTCAGCTGAAGAAAAGGGATAGCAGCTTAAAAGTACAGGACTGTTGGTTGCTCAAATCAACAAGATATCGAGTATAATCCCACAAGTAAGGTCTGGGGATGGTGGTGTCACGTGTGTACGTAACGTCGCCCCTACCTTTTATCTTGTAAAGGTAGAGAGACCTCAGCTGAAGTACCATAATATATCTGTACTTGCTTTGTTGTTCATTTATTGCAAGCGTGGTCGAATATAATACAGTAAAAGGACATACTTCTGCTTGAATTGAGGCTTCTACTCATGGCTGTTGTTGGTGCTTGTAGGTAGTTGTTGCTCTTCAATTGAATTCACCAAATGTCCTTTACTGCTTGAACATCGTTGTGTATTGTTGTACCCCGACCTTGTTCCTTACTAGAGCTGCAAGTTTCCTACGACAAGCTTTTCAGTTCTCTGTTCCGCCTGACAAGGGATATGGACAACAAATTAGGTGTGCAGATTCTTTACGAAACCATTGTAGGAAATAAATGAGAAATACATAACTCGCTAAAGGCACACACCATAACAAAGAAATGACTACTATGTGAGAAGCCTGTTCACTTAGTTTAGTTTGTTCAATTGCATACTGAATGATGAAGAACACCAGCGAACCGCAAGGCATAGGCACTGTCTATTGGATTCTTAACTTTGGGGGTAGGGGAACTACTCTTAAGAGAAACTAATGCACCAGCTTCACAGTATTACATGTCGTGATCAGCAGTATCCTTGTTATATTCAGTCGCATACTTCTCAAGATATAAATATCCATTATACGCTAAAAAGTCCATGGCTGTTACAAGCAGAAACCATACAAAAAGCAAATGGAATACTGTCTGTTTTGAATGCTTACCAATTTCAAGAAATTTATGGAACACCTATCCGAGAAGGTTCTCAAGAGTTATTCCATCATCACATACGCAGTTAAAAGTGTTGAAGTTATTAACAGTGATGAAAATTACCTCACGTTCTAATGTCAGGTTCAAGCAATCCATTTCTTGCATTCTTTTTTCCTTGTATCGAAGTCAAAAATTGGAAAGACTGAGGCTTTTATCTACAACTTAGGAAGGACTTGAGCTACTTCTAAATGAAGAATATGTAAGTTGGCAATGATCACTTAATTCAACTAAAAAAAGAATTAACAGTTATGAATCCTAATGCTGCATCGTATCTTCTACTTTGAACCATCAATGAAGCACTACTGGTAATACTAGTGAACACCAGGAATCCAGGATCCTACATCAGACAACAGTAACAAGATAAATTTATCAGCAATACCAGGTCAATGTCATGTTTTCACGTTCAGAACATTACTTAAATGACAGCATTCTCACTTTTGAAATCTGAGCCAGCAATTATACTTCTTTGTCTGTTATAATATTTTACTCTTACATAAGAGTTTTAGCCAAAGATTCGAAAGCTGAGAAGTACTAAGATAAGAAAACATAGACATTACAGAAAGTTTCCAGATTCTTACTCGTCGGACCTAATTCATGAAAGTTCTGGAAGCTATTACGGCACAAGGTTAATTTTCTCTTTTTTCATTTAGTACGTTGCGTGGCTGCTGGGACTCAATCTGCATCAATTCTTGCACTAATTTTGATCTGAGAATTCTGAGCTAACAACTTTCCGCATTGTAAACCTCAACGTTAGGAAAGCATTCTGAGGATGGAAGAATCACCAGTTCATATCTCCTTCTTATAAGAATGAAGCTGAGACAATAATCAGTTGCTGAATCAATCATGTCCTGAATATAGTACAGCGTAAAAATGATTGCTCAGAAGTCCAAAGTGGAGAACTTCATTGTCAGAGAATTAACTGTGCATCATGAAGTAACAAAGATTCAAAAGTACCTGAACGAGAGTCCAGCTTCCACCACGCATGAGCATCTTCCTTCGAGATGGAAGCATCAACATCCTCTTTATCTTCCCCAGAAAAGATTCCATCAGAATCATCACTCTCAACTTCAGAGTAATACAACTTTTTCTCTACTTCAGGATCATATGTCCACTCCAATCTTTTCAAAACATCTCGGTCCTTCCACCGTCCAACAACAGAGACAGCTTCTTTCTTGGCCTTTCCCATCATAATCTCTTGCCACGAGAAAGCAGCATCCGCTGTCCTCTTAAGAGCACCATCATTACTATCACCAACAACCACCGTCTTCAAACACCTCAACCGTGCCTCCTTCAACACTTCCACAAAATCAGAATCATCAGACACAAGAACCACATAATCCACCATCCTCTTATCCATTACATCAACCAAATGATTCCTCAACGCGATATCAGCAGCCTGTGGCTTATCCGACACAGTCCTAACCCAAAAACCTGCCCGTTTCAAATCATCCGCCAAACCATACCCAACTTTCGGGGTCAAAACATCCCTAACAGCACCCTTATACTTATCCATCTTCATCGCATACTTAGCTACCAACTTCACCCTCATTTTCCCTCTAGCAGACTCAATCTGATTCAACCTTTTCGTCTGCTCACGTTCGTGAATTTGCTTAAAATGATTCACAAGCTTCTCATTAGTATAAAATCTCCTCCCACACACTCTACATATATAAGGATCCTCAACCTTAACAACCCCACTTTTCTCCAACAAATTCAATGTTTTCCGCTCTTTTCTTTGCTGCCTAACTAAAGGAGGAACATAACTAAAGGCGTGTCGATTCGCATAAGCTACTGTAAATCTCACAACCCCAAATTGTCCAGCTGCCTTTTTGAGCTTAGTGGCAGCATCAAATGGTGGAAATGACTTAGGTGGTTTGTTATCCAAATCCCAGAAAATTCCAACACTAGCTCTAATTGGTGAGTCTAAAGAACCAAAACCCAGATGGGATTTGGACTCAAAGTGACAAAATCTTTTAAAGAAACGAATAGCATGTATAAAGGAGCTTACTTTGACACAGTTCATCATTCTTTAAGGAAAAAAATCGAAATTGAGAGTTTCTTGATGCTATAGAGGCAAAAAGATTACAAACCCAGTATAGTAAATTCAAATAATTTCACAAAATATCATCGGAAAAAGAAGGAGTTTAGGTTTCCGGTACCTTAAATGCTTGATTTCGCCGGAGACGATGGCTCTACCCCCGAGAAATTTGGGGACTCCACCGTCCGTGTAGCATCTATTTCCCCTAATTTGAACAGGCTAATTTACTAATTTACCCTTTAAAATTTTGAAATTTTATAAAATAATTTATATTTTAAAAGATATTAATTGTAAAAAATAATTTAATAAATTGTGAAATAATTTGGGATAATTATTTTTAATAATAAAGACACTAATACTCAAATTTTATTCCTTTTCTTTTTAGGAAGCACGGATAATTATTTGTTTGATATTGGTTTATTTTCGATCTTCCTTCAAAAGTTTGATTATTTTTTAATCTGATTTATTTCATATTTAATGCATGAAATATTTACTCGTCTTTTTTTATATTCAGTAGAAATAATAATTGCATGTGAAAAAAGGTGAGGAGAATGGTGTTTTTATTGTTTTAATTAAGTCGTTTTGTAGCTACATCAAGAATTTACTTTTATTTTTTGGACTATATCAATTACATTGTATATAATTGAGGAAAGAAAATTTTGCACAACCTCTTGATATTAAATAATGATCGGAGTTTGAGGGTGGACCAAAAGTACATCAATTTCACGTAAAGAAACAAGGTGATTATGGGTCTAAACTCAAAAATATGAGACTATATTATGATTTTTAAGTTATCATTTACGATCAGAATACAACATCTTACTTTAAATATATGTATAGGTTGATCGTTCTTGTGATGGTTCTCAAGGATCCAATATGACTACATAGGTCTACATTATCACAATATTATTCTACAGAACCGGACTATTTAGAAGTTCAACTCAATTTTTTTGTGGTGACATACGGGAAAGATCGACCTTTCTAATACATATTCAATCGTACCGATATGACCGCGTTGATTATTTTCGATCGGACAAAAAAATTATTTCATAGATAGAGAATCCTTTGGGCCGAGGGACGGAGGAAAGGGCTTATTCAATTTATTGGGCCGTATATGAAATGTAAGCCTCGTTTTACTATTTGGGCTTTGTAACTTTACAAATTTTTTCATAAAACAAATAATTGCTTGCGATAGCACTATTTAAAATATAGCCCATTTTACTACAATTATTTAAAATTCAACCAGTTTGTTTTTCTCCTTCTTTGCAATGTCATGGAAAAATGTAGATCATCTTAGAAGGTGGAATATCACGTTAGGAGTGTTAAATGGGTTAAATTCGGAAGGATCAAAATGATCAAGTTAGTAAATTACTCGTCCAGATTTTATTTGAACTAAAATATGTTGAAAAATGAATCATAACTCGTAATTATCAAAATAATATAAATAAAAATATTCGAAACTTTAATTTTCATTGAAAATAGCTATTAGGTCAAGCAAGCTTATTTCAAATTGATGTTTTAAAAGGTGAGAAACGACACCACTAATGTCACAACACAACAATCAATTATCATAATAAAATGAGACTTAAGTTACGTTACCCCCTAATTAAATTTGTAATAAAATTTAAATTATTGATTTACCTCATTTATAACCTAATTATGTATACCGTCAAAGAATAAAAAGAGTTAAAATAAAAACTTAAACCAAATAATAAGTCCAAAGTAAATTGATACATGGTCATTGACTACAAAAAGTTTTGGCTCAAGTTGATATTTTAGTACTCTCTGCCTTTCAATTAGGTATTGATTCATCTGATTTCGACTTGACATAAAAATTAATTAAATTTAAAAAAATATAAATTTTATAATCTTAAATCAAAGATATATAAAATATACTAAAATACTCTTTAATCTTGTAATCATAAATTCTGAAAAATTAAAATTTAAATATTATTTAAAAAAATACTCTTTTTAAAACGAATTATAAAAAAAATATAAAATAAACAAATTGAGATACTTGTCTCAATTTAAATCAACTGTGTGAATATACCTTTTTAGGTTAACAACTTGAATAAGAAAATCAAAAAGTTATTATGTGTATCATGTTCTTGACTTCTTTAGTGTTTGACTTCAAATACTCCAAACCATTTTCATATATCTATTTGACCTCTACTAGTGTTTTTTGATTCGTTGGAACATGGGATAAAGATAATAATTTTGAAATAAAATTTAAAATTAGTTTCATTTCATATTTGATATATAAGGTATTAATTTATTTCGAGATATTTTATTTCATTATTTATATTAAAATGAAATGATAAGATAATTAGTCGATATTAAAAGAAGAATAAAATAATTTCATAATTTATTTATTGTTATGGCATTCAGCGTACCCTTTGATTCGTTTTTGGATTCCTTCTGTCAAAGCATTTGAAAACTTAAAAATCGTTTGACAAGAATTATATTATATTTATGATAGAGACTATTTCTTATTAAATATATAGTTTGACTTTGAATATTTTTATCACCCGATTAGGGATGTGTTGGAGCGGGAAGTATACTTTTATTTTTATTCAGAGTTTCGAGTTCGAGTCGATTTTGTTACGGAGCATTTCATCCCCCCCCCTCTTCCCCCGTTAAATATGGAATTTTCCTGCGTAAATTTGAATTTAATCATACTCAACCCCACCCACCCCCTCCTAAATATAAAATTTTCCGCTTAAATTTGAATTTAATCATACTCAAACGTAAATATACACATGATTTTAGGGAAAAAAGGAATTCTTGTCATATACAATAGTCAAATATTGAAACTTTGCCTCATGTTATATTTGCGGTGTATTTCCATGAATGTATCTACTTTCTTCCCTCGTGGAGCATGGAACACTAATAATTTTAATTTTTAATCGTGAATATTGAAGCTACACTAATTTTCTTTATTATATTAGTCATTTTAGTCGATATTAGTGTACGTACATTTTATATTATGCAATATATATATACTATTTTCAATTATATTGATAAATTAATTGGTCGAAAGATATGTATCAAAAATTGTTTTTTTTTTGTGCGTGTGTGTGGAAATTCTTAGGTTTAAAGCCATTAACATTGCCTTGTAAGGAATTCTTGTATGTCATATATTATGGTCAAAGATTGAAATTTTGCCTCATGTGATATTTGCAATGTTTTTCTATTGGAGCATGGAATACTAATAGTTTCTATTTTCAATCGTAAATATTGAAGCTAGACTAATTTCCTTTATTATATTGATTATTTTAATCGTTATTTATAACTATTATAAAATTACTTAATAAAAAATGTTTTATTAGTAATTGCTTTCATAAATACTGTGATTTAATCTGTGATATTATCGGACGGAAAAAATAAAAAAAACTTATGTATAATGTCAATATATATGATAAAGTATCAAACATCAAATATAATTACACAAAGTCTCGATGTGACCGGTTTTATATTTGACCAATAACTCAAAGATTAGGCACAAATTAAATTTAATTTCAATAAAATTATGTTGTTAATCGTGGCTACTTGACTAAAAACTAATAAGTAATAATTTTTCAATGTACCTAATATTCTACAAAACCACAATTAATTCAGATTTATTCAATTGAAGTGTATGACCGCCAAGCTAAAATTGTCAAACACAATAAACCAAATACTATATATTAAAATTAATAAGACTTGTTCAATTCTTTACTTGTTATATATGACATACTCCAACAAGTATAATACATTTAATTATGTGAACGTATCGCCTCGTTGAACGCGATGCCCTATTTTATTATCATCATCCTGTCTTTTTTTCTCCCGAATATACTAATTATTATCGATCGATATAGAAAATTTATAAGTTTCAAATTCTAAATTTGCCTCTAAATATATATATTATGGCAGAATTTATCACTCGAGAAAACAATCCTCCTCCAAAAGATCCTTTATATAGATCAAGTAAAATAATTGTTTGGTGATTTCTAAGTTGCATTCACATTTCCTTTAATTAGCTTTTAAAAAAAATAGAATGATATGAAGTTGAAAATATTTGAAGAAAACCATATCATATAACATAATCTAAGTATTAAATATTTTTAATAATTTTTAAAATTTATAACAATTAAACGTCTGCTCTACACGTATAATTTTTAAAATTTATGATTAAACGTCAGTTACGTGAAACACGAGGCGGGAATAATAAACAAACACATCATGTTAGAAAAAAAAATGGAAACGTCTTGTTACGTGTTTCCATTTTATTTTTCAAACTCTCAAAACGCGGCTAATTAATTTAGTCAAATTCCCAACTTTTTCCCTACAATATACTTTATATTATAATTTATTACCCCATGCACGTATATATCAATAACTCTTCTTCTCTCAACAAACTCAAATATATTATTCACCCACCAAAAAAAAAAAAAACTCATCACGAAAGAAAAGAAAAAATGGCATCACACATCAAGAAATGCATGATTTTATTTCTAATAATACTATTAATTGCATCATATTTCCATCGAGAAGTATTAGGATTACGAATACTACAACAAGAAGAATGGTTGAAACAAACGACGGATTTAATCGTTCAATCACTTCCTCGAGGTCCATCTCCGTCTTCAGGCGCGAGCCCGTGCACTAATATTCCCGGTGGGAAAAGGCACGGGCGGTGCGCGCTAGCGAATATTAAGGAAGAAAAAATAATTGCTAGTCAAGTTGATAATATTCATAGAGCTTCTTCTTTAGCTTATCCAAATAATAATATGGCTCAATTTGGAATTGCAAGTTCAGAAAATAATGATACACAAAAGCAAGGATAAAAAAAATAATATTTTTTTATCAATTTTTTTTAGGATATAGTATATACTTTTTTTATTGTAAATTCCCTAGCAACTTCTTAGGGATTTTTTTTTCAATATTTTTTTTTTGGTCAAAGAAATCTTTGTTATATGAGTATATGTTGGTGGAGGACAACTAGATAACTTCAAATTTTGGTTGTTAATTAATGTATATTATCATAAACATTGTATTCATATATTTATTAATATATATATGTTAATTCTTTCATCTTTAATATTTCCCTTCAATTTTTTTTTATTATAGTGG